TAATTCGCAAAACTACCAACAAAAAATAATTAACTTCGAAAAAAGCTACTTTAAAATGAATGACCAAATTTGTTAGACATTTTTTAATAGTTTTATGCATAACCTTTCATCTTTATTTTTACCCAATAGAAATTACTCATTCATATTTTAAAACTTAAACCTATCCTTAAAACCATTTAAGATTACTGTGAATAAAACTTGTTTTCTAAATATTCCTTAAAGACACTTTAGTCATTAAATAAGATACGTGGGTGTATATAAAATCTGAGGTACAATCCTAAACTAAACTTTAAATGTTTGAACTAACCCATTATAGATTTTTCGAGTATGGTTTGTTGAAGATTTCATTAGTCTATTTATATTTTGGAGTTTTAGTTTATTGAAATATATATTTTAATTAAAAATGATAAATCATTATATTTATTAGAACTAGAATTCAAACACATTTAATTGATTGAAAAACACAATAACATAAGTCATACTTAAACAGAGATTTAATAACATTTAAATTCTATGATAATTGTTAAGAAATATAAAATTATAGCGGGTCATTTACACCTTGACTTGAAAAGAAGACTGATTATAAATTGTTGAAGAAAATGGAAGTCGATGTTTTGGAATGAGATAAAAAAATCGAACGGATAATATAAAATTTTGTGGGGTGGATAAATCAAAGACAAAGTAAGCAGAAAAAGAAAAATCAAGGCACAGTTGATTAAAAATAATTTATGGGACCATTTTTTAATATGTGGGCCCCTTGAGGAGTACGTGGAGGCCACATTGGTAAAAGGTCACAATTCCGCGTAATTGCCACTCATGGCTGATTGTGATCTTTCGATTTCATCACTCTTACGGTGGTTTTTAGAAACTGGATTAATTGAAAATTAAGCATATGTGTATTGTTTAAAAAAAAATTACGAAAGGATTAAGTTATCTTGTGTAATGACTATATAGGGGATGTATGAGTTTTAACCTATCCTGAAGTTACAGAAAGTGATTGTGACTTCTTTTTTTTCTGTAAATTCAAGTTGGTTCCTTTTTTATAATTTGATTAAAAATATAATTATTTTAAATGATAATTAATAAAAAGAAATCGTATTAAGGATTTTTTGATTTTAGTTAAGATTTTTTATAAGAAAACTCAGGTTAGTTTAGTGATGAATTTCATGAAATTTGTATTTTAAGTGAAATTGTGTTTTATATTTGATAACAAAGTTGTCACTTTTTAGTGACTGCGTGATTGAATTTTTTAACTAAATTCAATGTAATAAAATTTAAACTGTAGTAATAATCCTTTTAATGGTTTTAGTTTAATTTAGTTTTGAATTAAAATTATTATTATTGTAATTTTGGTGTAATTTAGTTTTAAATTAAAGTTAATGTTTTCTTTTAACACTTTAGTGAAATTTGATTTTGATTTGAATTCGTCGTATCAAATAACTTTAATATAATTAAATTTTTATTATTATTTATATTTAAAATTAAATTATTAATCAATATTTTTAACTATTTATCATCTCTAATATTATTTTTTACATATTAATTTATTTTAAATAAAATTAATAATTAGTTCGTATTACTATATGTTATTAGAAAAACATCTATTACTTGTAAATTATCTATTACTTGCATAATTTTCTTTTCCAAAATTTCTTAAAAAACAATTTACAAAAATATACTTGTAATTTTTATTGTGAAATAATATTCATAAAAATATATATAAATTACATATATTAAAAAAACATTGATAGTAAATCACTATTAAATTGACATATTTTATAACATTAATAATAATATTATATATTTTTTATCAATTTTAATAAAAAATAAATAAATAACACTTAACTCGTCAATAACTTTAATTCAAAACCTATTATTGCACTAAACTTGTCAAAAGGTGTTCGAATTCAGTTTAAAGCTAATTAACTTTGAAATCGCCAAAACCTATAATCATTTCAGTTCAAAATATTTTATATTAAAATTGTTAGAAGTGAACATAACTTCAAGTAAAATATAAAATTCCTAACGACTTGCACGAGTTTTATTGTGCAAAAGTTTTAACTATTGCAAAAGTTTTAACTAGAATTACTACAATTTCTTTTGATTCCATTTAATTTAGTTACATTTTTAATCAAATTATATAGAATGAAATTGACTTGAACTTACATAAAAAACATGATCACATGTTTAATTATATAGAATGATAAAGTCGTTCTTTTAATTACTTATTGAAAAAATGTCACAATTATACAACACGACTTAACTCATTTTGTAATTTTTTTTCCTTAAACATATTCATATACATAATTTTCAAAATAAATTAACCTATTTGGTAAAATATCCTTTCAATTTTATCACTTCTACTCCCCTTAAATTACGTGCTTCCGTGTTCAACTTTAATAACACTTTTTTTTTTTAACTTATCTAATACGTACTCCCTATAAATATGAAAAATAAAATTCTCAAAATATTTCATAAAATGTCAAGTTTAATGTAAAAGTATTACTTATTAGTGATGTAAACTAAAAGATAAAGAGTTCTATATGTTGCAACCTCTGCTTTTAAAAATCTTAACATTAGTTTCACCAATGAAATATCGTTTTAGCAATAATTATATTCATGTCCAATATTTATTTACAAAATTTAAAACTATTCAAATTTAAAACTATTTAATTAAATAAATAATTAAAGACAAAATACATTGAATTAATCTAATGTAAAAAAAAAACACATCCCAGGATGAAAACGGCCAGTGGCTGCATAAATATATAGGCAATCATTATTTTTTTTACACATAAAAGATGTGTATTATTGCATAAAAGTAATTTTTCAGGTTAGGCATATTATATATATATATATATATATATATAAATATATAATAAAACATTTTAACAATATGTATTATTATTTATTTTTTTAGTAGGTGGTGGATGGTTTTTAGATTATGTTGGATATCCATTTATATTTATTCATAAAAGAAAAAAATTATGGTAAAAAAAATAATCTAAATTGATGTCGGCTTTCACTCGTATTTGGCTAGCAGCAAGTTGAAACTATCTCTCTAAGAAAATGATATTTGCGCTGATTTGTTTTGAGTTTTTATTTGTCTTTTTAAATGAGAAGTTGTATTATAGAAAAAACACTAAACAGTTATTTTTATTTTTCAACCTAATAATTACATAAATTTAGGAAGTTCTACAATTTGTATTAATTATTAAAATACCTTTTAAGTTACTTTACTTTTATTTAATAAATTTAAGCTTATTCTTTTAAGAGTGTAATAATATTTGCATTTAAAAAAAATATAACATGTATTTTGAATTAAATTGACGTGATATAATGAGATTTTAATTACTTTTTTATTCATTAAAAAATAATCTAAAGTCTAAATAATTTATAACAACTCACGCTCAATTTACTCGCTGAGTTAGATTGGGTGATAATGGGATATTAATTGATTAAGTTAATTTGTCTATCTTCATCTTAATATTAAATATTTGTCTGATTAATTAAATTAACTTGTCTACCTTTCAGACCCTTATACTATCTTTTCTTTTGTTTATATGATCAATTAAATATTTTTATATGAATTAAGTTAATTTATATTTATGTGTGATTTTTTTTATATACATTATACTTTGCTTGTAAATTGAACTTGTATATATGTGGCCATTCCAATCTCCAGATAGAGATATAATTGATATATTATTGATCAACTAAAGTTAATTTATTGACTCGTGCAATACGTCTTCTGGTCTTTTTATTTTTCACTCTTTAAGATTAACTATTTTTTTTTATCAACAATCTGCTTTAATAGTTATTAGTAGTAAAACTATAAATAACACATTAAAACTGTAAACATTTCTTATAAAAACAAAAACATTAACTATTTCCAAATGCAAATTAAAAAGTAGACGCAACGACAAGAGAAATTAATATATTTAACATAACTATTAAACTAAAATTAATTATTCATATATCATATGTTTAATTATAATTTTTATTTCTATTTATAATTAACACGAAGTTTAAAATTAATTAGACATTATGTATAGTTGGTTTTAATTTAAAAAATATAATTATATGCTTTTATTTTTTACTATAACTCAAAGTTTTCACTGAATACACTATACAGAGAAAACGTTTAACTTCTACGAATACATCATTTAAGACAGTTTTACAAAAATCAGTAAAAGTAATAGAATAATAATACAAACATTATTAACGTATTATAATTCATTATTGAAATTACAATTTTTTATATAAATACCATTTTCTACATATTTTTAATTTGAAAAATTCATAAAAAGACTGAGTAAAACAATATAATGAATATTTTATAACATTAAATAAATAAACAACTAAAAAAATGTAATTTTAAAAATAAAAGGAATTACACAACAAATTACTTAAAGCAGTATATGTATGAATACAGTGTGTTAAACGTTACTGCTGTAATATTTAAATAAGAATAACGCTAAAATTTTAGATTCATAAGAGTATAAAAGTAAATGCAGGAACAACCATGTGCACTAGATTCCAATCAATTGAATTAACAAATAGTAGACCAAAGTTTACTAGTCAAAGTCAAAATTGCAAAACTCAGGACTCAGTATCCTAAAGTATAAAATTGTAATTTACAAGTAGAAAAAGAGTGCTTAAGAAGATAAATCCAATAAATACAATTTACCATTTTTTTGCAAAAAATAAATATAAACAAATGTGTATAATAAATAGTTAAAAACCAAAATTATAAATAAAATACAAAAACTATAAAAAAAAAATTATATAAAAAAATATTTAATTATTTAAATTTCACAAGTAATCTTCCTAATCCATTTTAAGATCAAGTGGCATTTTAGTTATGCTTCATTTTTAAAAGAATTCAACCAAGAGAAAAAGTTTAAACTACTTTCTGTATGAGTTTGGGTAAATAATAACTGTGGAGGGTGTGAAGGGGGAATAGAAAAATAACCGAGAAAATGTGTCTTTAATTCATTCATTCATACACATACATACACTCGCTTTCTCTGCAATTTCGTCTTCTTGTCCTTTCACTGCACAACTTCCCTATACTTCCATTTCTCTCTCTTTCTTTCTCTCTCTTTCTCTCTCTCACAGCTCAACGATTTTTCTCCAAGCCCAAGTCTTCCTTTTTTTTCTTTTGATCGGTGAGTCTCTGGGTCTCCCACTGACACTTTTAATTTTTTGTGTATATTAGATGCTTTAGAACTTGCGAGCTCATTATTAATTGTGGTTTTATCTACTTTTTTTCATGGTTTCTGCCGTTTTCCTTTGTAGTTGCAGTGATAATTGGCGTGGAACCATTTCCACCCCAAAGTATATTCTTTTCAGCTTGTGATTCCAGAGTACTGTTTGTTAATAAAAAGGAAGTAAACATAAAAGGAGGGATGGGGATAGAGAAGCAATAGAATCTCCAGATTTTGGTTTATATTCTCCTTTTTTTTTTTAAAAAAAACAGTAAATATTCTTGAGCTGTAAGTGCTAGAATGAAACTATGGATTTGATTTTAGAGCTTATTTCCTCCTCATAATTATACGCTTGGGCAAAATCATGTAAAAGGAAAGAATCTTCTTTTTCTCTTTGGTTGGGGCCTATTTCCTCTTTTTATTTTATTTTCCTTTTTTTGTTGAAAATTCATGCAATCTCGCTTTGTTTTTTTCTATCGCTGTGGGTTACACTAAGGTTGATATCTACACAAGATTCTGTTGCGACTGATACTTGGTCAACTTGAACATTTTTTACTACTATTTGAAGTCAAAATTAAGAACTTGCTGAGAATTATATCCATTTTGTTTAAACCACAGTATAATTGCTATTGTTATACATCAATTTAATCTGCACAAGATATAGATATCCATTTGCATCTGCTTGATTTTGCCAAATATTCCAAGACATGGGAAAATTGGTAATTATACCATGAAGCTATAATATGATGAATTTATTTATCTTAGGCCCATCTATTTGCATCAAAATACTAAATATGACCGGATAAAGCTAAAGAGGATCATCCAATAGGCTTTCATGAGTTAGGTAAACTTCTAATAAAGCAGTCGAACGGCAAAGATAGCTTGGTTTCCAAGGGAAAAATATGCCTTTTAATTCACAAATAATCAATTGTTGTATTTGAAACATGTAGAATTTTCACAGTTGTAGAAGATGATATAATAAACTATAAAATCTAAGCACTTGGAATAGTTTGCTATGGTTGAAAGATGTTAGGTAGTCCACTGCATGCCGCATGCAGTAAGTAATAGGAAAAAACCATTTTGCATTTGGCCAAATTTAATAACCTCAAGCTCAATCTTCCGTGCCCCTTCCTTACCCTGCCAGGGGCCAGAGTAGCAAAAAGAGCCTTGTTCATATTTTGTTATATTATGCTGAGCACCATAAAGCATTTAATTCAGATTGAAATTTATCTGGATACTTAAAGCCCATTTTGACAATCTTATTTTTGTGTTATTTCTGGAGATTACTACAGAGCTATGACCAAGGACTTGTCTTAAAGAGCATTTTTTTACAATTCATAGGTAAGCAATGGTTGGTGCATCGTGGTTTCGAACTCTATGGAAGAATCAACGGAAGGACGATGCTCATTCTGAGAAGGCAGTGCTTGGAGTATTAGCATTTGAAGTCGCAAGCTTAATGTCCAAGCTTGTTAACTTGTGGCAGTCTTTGAGTGATAAACAGGTTGCTAAGTTGAGAGAAGAGATAACAAATTCAGTGGGTATCAGAAAGCTTGTTTCGGAAGATGAGAATTTCATTGTACGTTTAATCAGTCTGGAGATGCTTGAGAATATGGCACACGTGGCTGAATCTGTGGCTAGGCTAGGGAAAAAGTGCAGTGATCAAAGTTTGAAAGATTTTGAGAATGCCTTTGATGTATTTATCACTTTTGGTTTAGATCCAAATCGTTGGGAGTTCACTTCCAGAAAAATGGAAAAAAAGGTAAGAAGGATGGAAAAGTTCATATCAACTAATGCAACTTTGTACCAAGAGATGGAACTGCTAGCTGATCTCGAGCAAACTCTTGGAAGAATGAAGGCTTACACCGAGTCAGATGGACCAAATTTAATTGACTATCAAAAGAAGGTTGCCTGGAAGAGGCTGGAGGTGAAGAACTTAAAGGCTAGTTCTCTGTGGAACAGAACATATGATTACACGGTGAATATTTTAGCAAGATCTCTATTTACAATATTCAGAAGGATCAACAATGTATTTGGCATTCAAGAGATAATAGATGTTGGTAAAATCAAGAATCGAAGTGCTTTGAATTCTGATCACGCTGATGGTAGTCGTTCAGTTTCTGAATTATTGCAACCTTCAGTCCAACCCTCCAGCAAAGCTCGGCCCACATTTGCTTCGGGACCTCTTGGCGCGTTTGCTGCTACATCTCGTCCAAATGGTCGAACAAATAAAGCTACCATGTTTCCTTTAGATGCTGGAGACTCGTCCACAAAGCCAGGGCTAAGTTCAGTAAAGAATAGAAGTGTCAGATTTTTCTCAGGTCCTCTTGGAAGAAATTCAAAAAAGCCTGTCCCAGATAATGGAACAAATAAAAGCAGCAAGATTTGGAACTTAAATGGGCACTCAACTGCTGTTAGTGGGAAGGAAATTAATGCAAGACATAGTCGACTGACTCAAGTAGAACCTTTCAAAGGATCTATACTGGCCGACAGTTCTTTGGTCACTGATAGCCACTCAAGCCCAAATGATGTTCTTTTAGCATCACAAAATCCCAATGACCCTAAGGCAAACCTTGTTACTCCTAGAAAAGAGGGTCATAGCCCTCAATCAACTTTCCATTACCTATGCAGGTTAAAGCCTCCATCTGAATCCCTTGGTGCTGCTTCTTTAGCCCTGCACTATGCAAATGTAATCATCATGATTGAGAAACTGGCAACATCTCCTTACTTGATTGGTCTTGATGCAAGAGATGATCTGTACAACATGTTACCGAGACGTGTAAGAGTTGCTATTAGCAGCAAACTGAAGCCATATTCCAAGGCCATGGCTTCAGCAGTGTATGATGCAGGTCTAGCGGAAGAATGGAACGAAGCAATGACCGGTATATTAGAATGGTTAGCCCCGCTTGCTCACAACATGCTAAGATGGCAATCTGAGAGAAGTTATGAGCAACATTGCTTTGTTTCCCGGACAAATGTGCTGCTGGTACAAACCCTTTACTTTGCAAATCAAGAAAAAACGGAATCAATAATAACTGAGCTTCTTGTGGGTCTGAACTATGTGTGGAGATATGCTAGGGAGCTCAATAAAAAAGCTCTGCTAGACTGTGGCCATGGTGGGGTAGATAATGGATATTCCCAACTGAATCTATAAGCACTTTTAAGTCAAGTTCGTCGCAGGATTCATTTTTCAACAAAAGTGCAGTCCCTGCAATTGATTTGGATGAATCTTTTCAGGGAGACAAATCTTCTGGCTTCTTAGATCTCAGTGAATGTGAAACAGGTGCCCTGGAGCTCGAGAGAAATACCCACATACGCTGGTTTATTGTGTCAGAAATGCATTCTTGGTGAGAAATGTTCATTTTAAATATTCAGTATTATTTTTCTTTGAGGAGATCTTGCTGATTTAACTTGGATCGCATATCTCATCTTTGAATAGTTGTCCTATGGGTGCATATTTATGAGCTTTATATGTATTAAATGTATAGTTTTTATCAGCCGGGATATTTCTATGTTGATATCTGTTGAATTCTATAAATTTCTACGTCGATATCTTTTGAATGGTGAGACACAAAGATTTCAAATTATATTTATGATATGTAAAGATATTTTCTAAATTTTATTTTTATTAGTATTTAAACAATTTTATAATGTTTTCATTTCATTTCTTGCTTTTAGACTGTTACAGACAGTAATTAAAATGATATTTTTATGACCAGTGACAGATCCAGGGGACAAGGAGGGCCCCTGCTCCCGCTATAGTTCAATCAACATTAAATTGTTAGTAATATTGCGATTACATGAAAGATAGATTTTGAACTTACTATTTGATTATTTATGCGGAGAAAATGATCGAAGTATCATACTGATTCTATTCTTTGGTTTAAAACAATCACTCCCAGACCTTATATTTTGCCTTCTTCATATTTTTTCTCTCCTTGTGATGCATTATTTAAGTCATAATCTTCTGCCATATCATTCCACAAATCTAATATTACGAAACTCATAGTTCTTCCCAACAAACTCAGTAGGAGTGAATTGCTAGAAACTTGTTCAATATCCATTTCACAGTTCCTTCAGGAATAAAACTTAAAGAGAAAGATTCAGTGTAAAAATTTTTCTTAAGAAATATCGAACCATTTATTCTGTTGAGTCTATCAGTATCTTTAAACAGAATACTACCGACAGATGAAAGATTTTGTTCCTTGATAGTAGTTGTTGATGGACAAGAAAAATAAGAAACTACCTTAAAAACAAAAAAATATCATTTGACCTGTTCAAACTAAATTATAACTGGTCTAACAGCATACAAGACTTTTTCGCAGTGAGCATATTCTAAGAGCATTAATTAAGTAAACTTTCACTGGCTCAAACATCCGTTTTAGCTCAAGTACAGAAAATGACTTGGTTGAGTGATGAAGACCAAGCCTTTTACAGCACATTTCAGAGGCTCCTTTGCAATGCAAAATATAACACTACATTTATTATGTTAATTTCTGTGTGTAAAATAAGTTAACACTATATTAGGAACACTAAAAGAACCAAGCTTAGAAACATATACAAAATTTTGCAGATAAATATAAATGCGAGAAACAACGGCAAAGTTATTTTTTCTCTTACTGTACTTTACAACCAAACATTGATAACCACGTAGCATTTCTAAGATAAGAATGTATAAATCATATATTTAATCACTCAAGGACTTTGTTGAAACTTAGAACACCAAAGGGAGATTTATGCCGTGAGTAATGTATTTCTAAACGTACATCATACGTTGATAGTGCATGACTTGGTTTAAATACTTCATATTCCCCTTTTGAAAGGACAACATAATACAAAACAGATTATATTATTTCAGCACTGATCTAATAAAAAATATTATACGTTTTCTATACTTTTAAGTAACGTTTTATTTTATTTTATTATAATGACGATGACATTTTATATTAGCACTTAATTTTTATTTTTTTCAACATTTAAGACTAAATCTCTCATCATAAACTTTATTCTACAATTAATGAGAGTATATCAAATGCGTGTCATGACATTGATTATATGGATTGATATCGAGGAAAATGTATAAGATATTTATAAAAAAAATAGAAATAAAACATTATTAAGTCTTATTTTCATTCAACCATCTTACACGTCATTCATTGCCAATACATTGAAAGCAATGTTGCCTTATTCATACGTTAAATTTCTATTAATTGTCGAATTTTTTTTTCCGACAAAAGGAAAGAAAACGAATGAAATTTGGAATGAGAATCTAAATTTTAAGAATTTAGATACTATAGAAACTAATAAGAGGATAAAAATATTTATGTAATGTACGTACTAAAGTATGGTACCATTATCTAATGCACTAAAGTTTTTATTTGAGTCCATCAAAAGTAAATTATTTATTTATTTTAAAAATATGCATAAACTAGTTTCTAGCACAAATAATTATCTTAAATTAATTTACAGATTCGTTTAAAAAAATCGCGGACAGTTAGAAAACGAATAATTTTGTTTAAAATGAAAATAGATTATTATTTTTTATATAAAGAAAGAGTAATTACTTTTTTAAAAGTAGAAGTTGATTCAGGTTTATTTACAATATATTTTTGTTAAAAGTAATTGATTTGAAGAGAAACTGTTCTGAATAAACCCAACATATAATTAGATTTTAGTTATTTTGAAAAGTCGTAAAAAATGCATAGAAAAGAAAAGAAAAAAATTAAAGAGAATTATTTGATAAAAAATTAGAAAAACAGGGTTGTTTGAATAATAGTGGAGATGGAAATATTAAAGGATGTTTATAAAGAGAAAGATAACGATAGCTTGGCTTGGAACACTGGGGCGGTAGAAGCATCACTACTAACAAACACCAACACGTTTTGTTTGGCACAACGCAACTTAATAATGTGACGCGGGAGCACGAAACTCACCATACTACACAACACCATAACCCGCTTGAACGTTTGGTACTCTTCGATTTGACGCAACCCTTTCTCTTTCTCTCTCTTTTCCTCTTACATCACTCGCCGGAGTCTAACCTCCTCCGCCATTTCTGGCATGGATGTGCCGAAGCACCGTGCCACTCGAACAACCTCTCTACGGGACGTCTCCGACTTCTCCAAGATGGAAGTAACCGGAAGCTGGGACGCCCTCGAATGGACCAAAATTGAGGTTCCTTTTTTTTCTTTTTCTTTTCTTTTCTTTCATTTAACCTTGTTCATTTCTCGATTCAATCTGTTATTCACCTCTCTACGTAATTTATATGCAGCCAATTACGCCCTTCGTCTCGAATGCGAATTTCGATTTCTTGATCGAGGCGGAGCAAGTTGTCGCCGAAGTACGCAATAATTTCTTAAACTCTCTCTCTGTTGTTTCATTTGTTTCCAAGATTTTTGAGAATTCACCGTTTGTCTTTTTTGTATTGGTAATCTTGGTTGTTTCTAGTGTTATATGTGGAGAGGTTGTGGTTTTGTTGTTTAAAAGTTTTGTTTTGGAACGAATTAGCCTGGTTTTGATCGTGTGTTGAGTCTGCGAAAGTGTGTGGAATGTGGGGAATGAAGATAGGACTGAGAATGGTAAGGATGATTGGGTATTTTCCAGAAGTACATGTAGGGTTTAGTACTAGCTCATCAAAGATTCGTTTGAGAAACTTAAGTTGTATCGAACTCATCACGTTCCTTACCCAACTAGAAAGGTTCTTGAATTTCTTGAAAATTTTATTGGGCTTAGTGGCTCTGTTGTCTTGGTTACCTCTGTATGAATACCAACGAAATAGCTTACAGAATTTCTTGAAAATTTTATCAGGGTTAGTAGTCTTGTTGTTTTTATCACCTCCGTGTGAATGTGCAATACATTGTGGAATCACTGCATGCTGAGTTTGATGCTTGTGACCTGCAAACAATCTTCCAATTTAATATCTATATGAAAATTCTTTCCTGCAACTGATTGGCTCTGAATCATTACTGTCATGAACTCAAATATGATGGTGCAGATATTGATTGTTATGTTGTGTGATACATCTGGTTTCTGTTTTGATTGGAAAATGTGCATTGTAATTTCGTGTTTACATGGAAACTTGTTCATAGATATTTGGTTGAGATTGCTCTGGAAATATGTAATGATAATACACAATGATCTTGGCTTATTACTCTTTGATTTGTGATCACGTGTTATTAGAGAACAGATGTAACACATATTGCAAGGAAAATAAAGGGAAGCAATAAATCATCCAAGTGGGCATGTACTCAGAGCCAGGCCTTATTAAGAGCACTCAATTTAGCACCAGTACCAACACCGCTGGTATCCATGGAAGTGGCAAGGATCTACCCCTTTTGACCCTCATTGCTCTCTAGATGATAGGGTAACAGGGATGTGGGGTAAATGACTAGGATGTCGAAACTTCCTTACAGGGTTAGGGTTTCAAGCATGTCTCTCACTCTTAGGTTTCTTCTTTTTCTAGTGATGCTGATCCCTTTTCCCTCAGCTCTTTTGGGGTGTCCCTCTTGTCTTCTAGGGAATTTTGTACCTAGCATTTAAAGGCTGATTTAACTAAATCTGTCCTGTGTCAGGCCACACTGCTTAATTGCCAAATTTTCAGCTTATGTTTCAGGATACAAAGAACATTGAACTATGTGTATTGGAGGCCTGTGGGAGGAGGGTTTCATGTCATCACTCATCAGGGTGGACCTATGATGACTGAGTGTGTTGGCTGACAATGGAGTAGTAGGTGAGAGGGAGATTAATAATGATGCGTGAAATGGTGATATCACTTGCTACCATATAATAGGCTGCTGCATGCAAAGAGCAATGAAGCTGATTATCTAATCTTGCATTAATTATTTTTTAAACACCTTCATGGCTACATTCAATACCAATTACGCTATATTAGAAATAATTTCACAATTAAATTTTAAAAAAGAGGTTTAGAATTTTTACCTTTTCTTAATATTATTAAAATTACACTTAATCTTCTCTTTTGTTCAGTTCATCCTCCTTATACATGAAACCCGTTGCAGGTTTTATATCTAACTCTACTAATCTTAGGACCACCATAAGATTGAGGCATGTGGAGACATTCTTCCAAATATCTAATACCACATAGAAGTTCCGAACTTGCTTATTTAAACTCTTTAGAGCTAAACATGGCCAATAATGATGCTTTTAATTCATAAAGACAAACTATAGTCAAATAAGTTGTGAAAAATTTAGTCATACCCGGCCTTATCAATTCTCTTTCTTTTTGAACTTCTTTGACATGGTAATTAACATTAATCTATCACAGAGTAGGTGATGATATTTCTTCTCTTGAAAGTAATTTGATGGACCTTCATGCAATGGGCAACAAATGGGGTCAAATACGAATTTTCCCTCTTGTGCATTAAAATTCTCCAACTGTCTTGTAATTTGCAGCATTATCAGTAACCACTTGCACTACATTTTCTTCTTTAACATATTCCACAACGCCATTCTGCATCTTAAATATTTTTCAGCCATTTTTGAGGTGTCTGAAGTGTTCATTGAATAAAGAAAAATAGTCCCTTTAAGACTATTATTCACCAAGAAGTTACAAATAGAAAGCCTTTTTTATCTGTCCATCGTTTAGATGTAATTGTACAACCTATTCTCTTCCAGTCATCCCTATATTCTTGAAGGATTAAGTCCATGTTGTTCATGGCTGCTTCTAGAGCTTCTTTCTAACATCATGATAAGAGATGGGGTCTTATAGTCAACTCCATATTTCCCAATCATCTCTCATTTTTTCAAAAGCTGGAATTTTAATTACATTGAATGGAATGACACTTGTGTAAAAAATTTCAGCAACTTGAGCATCAACTTCTTCTTTATTGTCTTTTTTGATCATTTCATTTTATAGTTACTTTAACTTCCCCCTTACTACTACCAACTCTTTCTTTTCCTCCAAAAGAAACTATACTTTGTCTTTCTTCAACCTCCTTACTTTTTTCACGGTCTTCATTAGTTATACTCAACCTTTTCTTCAGTGAAGCTTCCTTAGCTTCTGCTACAACTTTTATTATCAGAAAATAAAATTTAGTGATTGAAACTTGATTTTCAAGTATGTGCTGTGTTGTGGCAGTCTATAGAACCCAATATTGTGGGTTCTATTAGAACTTAAAGCCTTGTTCTTTTAAAAAGATGGTCACGAGTATTTTGGCCATTACTGTTTAACGTTTATATGATGCAGTAGTTGAAGATGTTTCTTGAAGCTATTCATTGGAAGGAATGAAGTAAAAGCACGATCAGTTGAATGTTAATTTTATTCTATGGGCTATGAATCCAGACTTCTCTGTGTCTGGTCATGAGATCCCTTCGATGGAAATTTAATTATGTCTTCTCCATGTGTCTACTCTTAAAAAAGAATGAAAAATTGCATGTGGAGTTAAAAATGGTTTACCTCAGTCAGTGTTCTTATTGTAAGAAGATGGGGCAAGAAACATGTTAATCCTTGCGTGGTTTTCCTGTGAAAACAACCAGTGTATCCAAGTCAAAAAATTGAGCATAAGCTTTCTGAAGATGAGTATCAGGAATATCTTGGACTTAAATCCAATAGCCAAGCTCCATGACTAATTGATTTAGGTGCTTTTGATCATATATTTAGTAATGGCTCCTTATACATCTCAATATCTTCCAAAATTTCCCCATCTAATTAATTGAGCAAATGATTCCAAGGTTCCTCTCCTATTCCAAATTGTAGCCTTCTTTTTTGTCTATTTACTCATTGCTGCTTTTTCGACACATACTTGCACATATAATACACACAAACATATAATATACAGCTGAGCACCAACGCGAGCAACTCGGCCTTTTCTTCTCAATATTTGAAGTAATTATGGAGCCAAACAGGATGTAGGATAGTTCTCGGGGGAGTGGGGACTGGTGGATAGGACTTTGTGTGCAAAGTGTGGGTCAGCGTTCTGTTCCTCTCTTCACATTATCTTACTGCAAGCTCAATTTGGTAGATGACATTGCTTCCGAAAACAAACATACAGAGTTGAAGACAATTGACCTAGATATGACATGTTAAGCAATGGACTAGTGGGTTGAATTTTTTTATGTAAAAATGAACTAATATACATAAACATCTGATAAATGGTCTCCAGTTATTGGGAAAATAAGATGTTGACTAACCAATGCCTCTTATACATTACTTTATTTGATACTGCTCATATCTTTAGTGCAATTGGGTTGCTAAAGAGCTAATATTTTTTCTCAACTGTTAGGTTTCTTATATACTCGCTCCATTACCAAAATTTAATGCAAATCACACTTCTATGTAATAATAAATTGAAGATCACACTTATACGTAAAAATAAAATGCACTACACTGAAAACTTTGACCAAAATACCCTTATTTAAAGGAAAATGAACACTATTGATTTGCTGAAGTGGAAAATATTTTGAAACAAATTGGATGGTGGTTATTTCACTGTTACTTAAATAGGAAAAATCAGCTTATGGAAACCACTTCCTTTTTGTCAATAGATGGAAGATTGACTAGCCATGTATTCAAGTCTGGCAGCGGAGCGATGATAGATGTCTGTCTTAATTATGATTTTTGCAGTGATATAATAAAAGTTAAATATTTAGTTCAGTATATGCATTTTCCTGTTAATTTCCCTTGCCTTTATTTTGAGTTCATCTCTCTTGGTTTAATTTACAGGCAATTGTTTTTTCTTTGAAATCATGTTGAGCTTGAGATGCAAAAGTAATGCTTGACATATTAACTAGAATTACAAAGGATTTTTGAAAATATTTGATGCATAGAAAATGGTGCAAGACTTGGAAAGGAAAAAGAGGGATAGAGAATCTAAGCATTTGTGTACTGATAATTAAAATATGATCTGGAATTGGTTTTAGAAATCCTGACTTGCATGTACTAGAACAAAGTATACGGAAGAAAGCAACTGATTTCTCTTCAATGTGGACCTTCAGCAATGAAACAGGATGATAATATACCTGGAAAGCAAATGTTCTTAGAAATTTGTCTTTGGTGTGGACCTTTTGCTAACTTTTAATACAAGGCTTTAATATTTTAAATTCACACTTATCATGATTAAATATATTGAATGAAACTAAGTTGGTGTTGGTGTTTATTTTCAGGGACATGGTGTTGTTCTTGTTAATACAGATGATGCTGGCACATTGATGGTAACAAATTTCCGTCTTATTTTTCTGGTAAGTTCAGTTTTGTAGTACTTTCTACATAAGTCCTGGATAATTCTTTACGAGGTAGTATGATGCCATAGAAGTCTTGAATTTATGATTTGGGAATGACTGCGACCTAGAAATGCAATTAATACTCATAGGAAAGATAATATTAATATATTTGTGTGATAATTAAGAATTTTGGTTGACAAGATCATGGTATGCTGCTGGCTGAAGAATTGTTGAATTTTTATTCGGCCTGACCAATTGATAAAGAGGAAGTTTTGGAGACAGTATTAACTCTTCAGAAAAAAGTTGCATTTTAATTTCCATGTTACCCAAACCTATTGCTTTGCTGTCATAAAAAATTCACCTTACCATAGTTTTTTGTTGATTTTTTCTTCTTTCTTCCCAATCTTTTGACCTTCAAATATGTATGTTGTTGGTACTGTTCATAGCACCTGACCCGACTATCAAGCCTGAAACTATAGCTAATGATTAAATCTTTAGATATATTAGAAAAAGTGGCATTTTAATTTCCACGTCACTGAACCTGTTGTTTTGTTGTCATTAAACATTCTCCTTACCATGGTTTTTTGTTGTTCAATTCTTCCTTTTCCAAATCTTTCAAGCCTGAAATATCTATGCTGTTGGTACTGTTCATAGCACCTGCCTGACCATCAAGCTTGAAACTGTAGCTAATGCATGTGTGTGAGCCTAGGCATAATTCGTGATTACCTTTCTAGCCATGGTCGATTCCAATCTTAAGTACACCAACTTCAATTTTTACTGGTGTTAGGCTTGGATATGTTCTGACAAGGTCAGTGCCTGCTAACTCAATTTAAAAAGGAAAAAATATGGTGAGTCCCTGAACTTTTTGTCAAATATGATTTTGTATCCAATTAAATTTGACCAAAAGTACAGGGACCAAAAATACTTTTTCCACAGAAGAACTATAAAATACAATATCAATTGTATGAAAATATGTAAAATGATTAGAAAAAGAAGACTGAAAACTGCCACTAAAAAACTGCTCTACCTAAAAGAAACTGGTTTGCAGTGTTGCATTTAATGGAGAGAGGAGAGAAAAAAATAAAGTCACTGACTGAAAGAGGAAGAGTTTATTTTTTATTGTGTGCTGGTTGATGTCCCTTGATTAGTCATTTAAAATCTGACTGCTTAGTTGTTTATCTTCTTTTGTAAGTCACTTATGTATAGCACTTGCAGAATCTAAAGTATGGAATGTGAATTATATAATTAGTTTATGGAACATTATTTTCTGGTGCCAAATTCTGTTTCTTTTATTGGATACAGTTGGTGGCAATTAGTTGCCTCACCTTCATCCAATATCAGGCTTATTAAGCTCCTGAGTTCTGTTGCGGATTGGTGTGCCTTTTTTGTTACCTGCCTAGTTATTTGTAAATAACCTGTATTGACTTTATTCTTTGATTTCCTTGTATTTTCTAGAGTGAAGGAACTAGAAAAGTTATTTCCCTTGGAACGATTCCACTAGCAACCATTGAGAAGTTTAACAAGATAGTAAGTTCATGCAATATTTTCTGCAAAGTATTTTCTTTTGTGTGTATATTGTTATCTACTTTAGTTATGCTGCATTAGACTGATCCAAACTTTCTCTTTGCTTGCTTCACATATATGTTGACTACAATCAGACCTATGGGAAATGAAATTTGAATAATAATTTGGAGTGACCTTGCATAACCCTTTTGCATGCATTTTTTCAGCCTCCATTTTAATCCCATGTATTTCTTCACTTATTTTTGTTTTATTCTTTGCTTCCCCTTTCAATGCACAAATGTTCACGTGTGGACACACTTTCATATTATTTTACATTATAATTTAGCAATTGGTCGTAGAATATATATGAAGTCTTGAATTCATTACTAATTGTTGTATTTACCACAAATACCCAAAGTATACTTAGACTGATTCATGAATGGGAAATAGAACTTTGATATTTTAAATGGTTAGTTCTATAAAAACAATTTTTTTGAATGATTCTGGATTTTTTTATTTGATTGACTTTTCAATGAGATGGATTTGCGTCATTAGGTGATATGCTCATATGAGCTCAGCAACAGGAATTATTATCTGTACTCTTTCACTTTCTATTAATGTTGTGAAAATAATTATATTTATCTGGTGTTATGACTTATGAACATGAGTGTATTTTTTGTGGCTTGATTCTGGTACCTTCTTTTGTTGCAATTATCTGGAATCTCATACACCGCTCTCTTATAAATCTAGGTTGTAAAGGTTCAGTCAAATAATCGTTCTGTAGACAAGACACCAGCTCAGAGACTGCTCCAGGTGATTGGTATGCAAAAGCTCATCTAAATCAATATTTTCTTTTGAATATGTAATTAATGAAATAACTGTACAAGATTTGTACATAAACTATTAACTATTAAATAGAAGATTAATCTTGCAATTGATTGGAAACCTAAGTTCCCTTCACGGTTGTCTCTTTACATTCAACAATAGGCTCAAATGAAACAATGTGTTAAAGTAGCCTAAAACACATTTATAATCTTGGTTATAGACCTCTATCATACCCTGTTACTCAAGATTCCTTCAGCCTTAAAGCATGGACAGTATACATGCTTGTTCTACTTTTTGCTTAAATTGAACATATTTTAGAAGAATGAGGTTGACAAAGATTGCAATCGTGCCCCACTTAATCATATATGCTTTGATACCATGTCAAGCACCAATTTTCCTAGAAATTTTAGTTGTTAGGGAAGGCACACAAAATCGGTTTTATATTTCTGAGAACTATTGATATGTTGCAAATTTACGAGCACCATAAATTGCTTGCTCTTTTGGTATATGCATTACATGTATTATGGTTTGAAATGTTCTAATGTAATCTGTGATGACAACTTTTATTTGGAACAATGTTGTTTTGAGTTTGGGCTAAAACTGGGTATAACATTAAATTTTGATGCCTTAATGGCTAGCTAGTTAGTTCTTTCTGTTTGTGTATTTATTTTTTAATTAATACTAGTGTACATTGTGTGCTGCTTCTGTTGGGTGTAAAGTGCATGGCTTAAGGATTTACTTTATGATATATATAAATTGAGCAGCTTTCTGCAATAATATTTTTTGCTATACTTTTTTCCTTTTTTTATTAGGGAGGGGATTCTTTATACTCCACATTTGTAGAATTTTAAATCTAAATAGCTTTTTTTTTTCTTTTTTTATTTTAACTTTATTTTTTTATTGAAGAATAATAATATTCTTGATTTGCTTCTGCAGGAAAAGATATGAGAATTTTAGTCTTCAGTTTCAGACCACGTACAAAACAGGTAATTCTACCTTGACAGTAGTTGTGTGACCTTGTAAAATGGTGCACATTTCACTCTTAGCGTGATTTTATTTACACTTTTGAAGTTAATCTTTATAAATGGTAAAAATTTCATTGACATCTCTTTCAAATGGCTGTTGTGAATACTTATAATGTATCGATTTAGTTTCCCTTTTTCCCTTCATTCCTTCATCAGGAACTGCAACCAAACACAGAAAAGTTCTTCACATGGATCCTATGTGATCATCATAAACGACTCTGAGACACATGTAATTTCAGCGAACATGGGTAGAATGAAATATAAACCTCTGTTTTCTTTTCAGTAGGTCTTTGTAGATGATCCATGGACAGGATAGATGGCTTAATTTTCTTTAGCAAGTTCTCTTCAAGATATATGCTTCTACTAAAGAATTAATTGATTTTTTCATTGATATGCTTTTGACCTTATAAATTTTAGGGGCCTCAACATTTAAGGTTAGTTTTTGGTTTACGTACGTGGAGAGCCTGGTTAACATGCCCTAGAGCCTAGTTTAAATGTTCTCAGAATTTAGAAATAATAATATATTTTTTCTATATTACAATAATGAAGTCATTGGACCTATAGATATATGAGCCTGCTATTTATTTTAGGAAATATAGGGGCTTTATTCTTAGGAAACAAATCCTTGTAATTATGGATTGTTTTTAAATACATAGTCCTAGTAAGCTAATTCTTAGGAAACAAATCCTTGTAATTATGGGGTTGTTTTTTAAATACATATCCTAGTTTTAATAGCAAGATACACCTGTAATAAAGATAAAAAATATAGACATTATCAAATAAAAACTTCCTAAAATACATAATGAGCAGCATGGTTTTGACAAATATAGAGCAAGTTTATCTTCTTACTGACTATATTCAGGTTTCTATTAACCTCTCATTGAGTTTTTTTTAATACAAAAGTTGTGGCGGTGCATGAGTTGTTTCACAACCTAGGTAAAGTGCACAACAATTAGGGGATACCTACTGATAGTGGATCATCAGCAAGAATCAGATCCAAGTCCTATACATTTGTTCAGCTTAAATCATGACTGTCCCAATTGAGCCAACTTTCATTGGCAGGAAAAAACAAAAAATAAGAAAATACGGAAATTTAATTATGTCATGTGCTAGTTTGAATTATTGGTGCTCTATTAATAATTTTATTGTATTTTATGACAGAAAATATCTGAAGTAGTTGGTACACTTCACTTTAAGAGTGTTGTAGGCCTGTGAGGATGTCAGTGGATGCTTTTTATTTTCTTATAACATGTTTGGGATCTAATGTTAATTATGAAAATTTTACAGAGACGTTTGGTGTTTGATGCGCTACTGAGGTGTACAAAGCCAACAAGATTATGGGATCTTTATGCTTTTGCATCAGGACCTTCTAGGTTTAAGAACACTACTCCACTGGTCCGTTTACTAGATGAATATTGTCGGCTTCTTTGCCTAGGTTCTTATCATGCATCAATCGATATAATTGAAAATGGGTCGTTCATCTGGTCAAATGAACTATGGAGAATAAGTAGCGTGAATTCCAGTTATACAATGTGCCAGAGTTATCCATTTGCTTTGATTGTTCCAAAGATCATTAGGTAATTATTGAGGGCAAACTTTCTACTTTTGCACTAGTTATGATTTTTCTCTATATTGACAAGCTTGAGACCACTGAACCACTATATGTTTACCACGAATTGTCTCAATGCTAGTGATGAAGAAGTGCTCCAGGCATCCAGCTTCCGTGCAAGATGTCGACTGCCTGTAGTTTCATGGTGCCATCCATGTATGTGCAGAATCTAGGTTTCATTTAATAGTTGACACAGTTCTATGTTTCTTATTTTCCATTCTTTTCTTTTCTGTACTTTTGCCATTCGTTATTATAATTTGAGGATGGTCTTCTAACTCTATGGAAGTACTGATCACAGTGACTGGAGCAGTTGTTGCACGATCTTCTCAACCCTTAGTTGGTATTATGATGAACATGAGGAGGTAATGCTTTCTGTTTATCAAATATGCCCTCTTAAAGGCAAAAGAAATGTATTGTTTTGTTCTAGGTGCATTGTCAAATGGCACTCTGGTGTAATACTGTTGTAAATTTTGTGTAAACACCATGATAAGTGCATGTGTTGCAGATTTTGGTGGGCACAGTGTGGCGTCCATGGTGGACATAACTCGCTGGGTGCACTATCTTGTAAATTTCAAAGGGTGAACTATCTTGCAAATTCGCTGCAAACATAATTTTGTGTTTTTATTGAAAAACTTGAAAATGTCACAACCTACATGACCCATGTTTCGAATAGTTAAACTCACTGCCATTTTCACACAAACATTCCTCTAAACTGTCAGCCCATGGCCCTCTCTGCTCCATATTCCTACTCTCATGCCCTCTTTCAGACATTTATGCAAGTTTCCAGTCAATAGGGGTCTTGCTATGTTTTTTCTGTCTATTTTTTACTTTCCATCATTTCCCTCTTTTTCCTTTTCTATTCTCTGTCGTCCTCTCCTTTCTGTTCTTCCCATCAATCACACTTGTTTGTTAACAACATTCACATACTATTTTTATAACAAAACACATACTCTACTCTCTGCTTCCTTGTTCTGTTCTAATCATACTCTTTTCCACTATTTAGTTTTGATAATTTTGCTTTTTATTTATAAAATTGTTTTGAAATTTTGTTCTTTCTATTTCTCTTTCAACAAAGGCATTGTTGAAAGAACAATGTGATGAAAGAACAAGAAAAGAAGCAAAGATAAACCCTGCTTATTCACTATTAGCTAAAAAAACCAATGTTTACAAAGGAAGAACTTCCTTTCACACAGGGTATTCCCTGTCACCGAAGTCAAAGACTTTCAATGCCAAAAAGATTGATCCTTAACACCTTCCAAAGGGAAAGTATTTTTATAGACTTTCTGAGAGTCTCTTCCCCCAAAAAAACTAACCACATAACCCCTTTTATTTCTAAGTTCATTTCTATAATACACATTCCTCTCTCTCTCTCTCTCTCTCTCTCTCTCTCAATATTTCCCTTCCAAACATCACTAGATTTGTCAACTCCAGTCATTAACTGATATACAAACATATTCACTAAATCTCTAGAGAACCAAGGATCATTCACATGCAGCAAGCTGAGAAAATATGACTTATATGCTCCAATTTAAGGAGGACTGTTACAATTATAAAAATAAGAATCATATTTATATAATTATAGATATTAGAATCTGATTTACTTCTTTTTTACTGCATAAACAGTGAGTATTTGTTCTCTGTCGATGGATGGATTACAAGTCCATGTAGTATTGTGTTCGTTTAGTGTGGTATATTGTGAATGGAGTGAAATGTGATTTCTTTAGATATGGTGTAGTGATTTCTTCATTTATTTGTTTTATGGGGGAGAGGCGACTGTTTAGATCTTTTCTTTTCTTTCTTTTTTTCTGGATGATGCTTTCTTTAAATAAGTTCTTTTATCATAAATGAAATGAACAGAACACTGACAAGCTTTTTCATGTTTTTTCCTTCAGCAACATGGATGAAAAACTTGTGGCCGGACTCTGTAGCAAGCTAGATAATGGCTCAAGGAGGTAAGATGTATATTAATATTATACTCTTGCATTGTGTTATGCAGGCAATGTACATCCCCATTTTACCTTGTTGAATCTTCATTATAACGAATAACAGTAAGCATGATTATCAAAATCACGATTCAACTAGTAAACTTGACTTTATTTCTCACTCATTTATACCTGTTAACTCGTTCTTAGAATCGTTTTTAAGTAGGCTCATGAAAACTCGAGCAAACTTGGTTAAACTGTGAAATTGCAAGTTTAGAGGCAATTTAGTGAGTTGAGTTGGACACTAGAAATTAGCCAAAAATGCCACTAGCTTTGTTTGTTCCAGGTCAAGATATATGCAAAATGCACCAAGGGAATGATTTCATGGTTCATTGGTTCTCTTGCAATAATCTGGCTATTTTGGGTGTTGATGTTGCAATCTCCTATTACACCAATAGATCTCTCTTGGTGTCTTTTCTGCTCCGCTCTGTTTTTGTTTTGATTCTCCACCACACTTTGCCATCTTACTACTCCCATTTCTTTTCTCCACCTCAGTTTTAGGGTTGGAGGCACAACATATTAGGGTTTTATCTCTTTCATTTTTAATCCGCCCTTACAATGCTGGACCATTGGGCCTCCTTTCTTACTATGTTGAACTGTTGGACCAACATTTAAGTTCAACAATATTTTTTTATGTAAAGTATAATATATCATGTAATCAATTAGAATAATGATAAAAGAATAATATTATTAGAAAAAGATATTTAAAATATATAATATGATAAACTAATAATGATATGAAATAAACTCTTACAAGTTTACTATGAGTTTACAAAGCTCCTACAGTTTATGTAAATGCACCGATACATGGATCAGGCTTACGTATCCATGTCCAGGATATATCTGACACAAATACATTTGGATACGTTTCAAATACGTATCAATAAAGTGTCAGTTAGCAGTTAAAAATGATAAGAAGTGCTTCAAAAAAGTTTTGCGAAGCTAACACTATTGTTGGTGTACCACAATAATCCTGTTTTATGAATTTGTATTGTCCTTTGGGTTAGACTTTATTACCCGATTTTCCTAAAGTGGCCTCGGACAATTCAACTAATATATATATATATATATATATAACGGACACAATTTTTTCTTGTAGTCATTAATTTCTTTTTAGTATTTAACTATCCTTATTTTTATTTTTTATATTATTCCAAACATTAAACAGACATAAAATGTATATTTTTTATGATTTAATCCATGAAACCAATTTCAGGATTTGATATTTGAGTACCACAATTAAAAAAAAACTATGACAACAAATGTAGATAGAAATAATTCTCACTCATCATTTATAAATACATGTATATAATATTTAATAATAATTTGCAATTTTAATTTGGATTTTAAAAAAGTTATAATAATATATTGAGGATCATGTAAAGTGGGCAACAAGGGAAGTTTAATTGTTGTTATACTTGAACCTTATATTCCCAACACTTGTGCTATCATTATTAAAAGATAGACTTAATTAGTAATTTGGTATCCCTATACTTAGGACTATGATTTACTTTGTCCCTATGTTTTTTTTTAACTAAATTGAGTCTCAATATTTTTTAAATAGAGAGTCAATTTAGTCCTTGTTTGGAAGTGTTGTGTGTCAAAATTTGATTCATTTTCTACTTTAGAACCTGTGTATTATTTCTTCGTCTTCGTTTTATTTTTCTCCTTCCACCTTCCTTTACCTCCTACTACCTCCCATCACCTCCTTCCACCTCCTATTGAATATTCATTTTGCACCATTTTCAAATAAAACACTATTGCTTCAAAAGGTTAACCATATTTATGCAATTCCAAAACACAAAGTTCTCACCATAGCACAGCAGAGCGGGTGGGAAGGCGGAGGAAAACAAAAAAGGAAAAAAAGAAAAATAATGGTTCCAAGGTATAAGATGAAGTTGATTTTGATATGTGACTCTTTTAAATAACATTAAGCTCAATTTAAAAAGGCTCAAATTCATTTAACAAATATTGGGATTAAATTGAACTAAAAAAGAGTACAGAGGCCAAACAACTAATTAAGCCTAAAAGATATCAAATCTATTTATTGTTAGTTTAAGACTGAAAATATGAGAAACAGAGCTTAAGAGATTGATTATCTCTAGAAGAAAATTACATTAGGAATATCTAGGTAATTAACGCTAACAATTCATAGGTACTACAACTGCTAACCACCTACATTAAATACATATTTAATATGTATTCTAACTGTCCCCATTGAAGTTGAGCATACAAATTGTATGTATCAAGATTAAAATAAGTAAAGATTAAAATAAGTAAAGATTAAAATAAGTAATCTTGTAACTTAAATCATTAACACCTATAAATTAAATTCTAATTATTAATTATAATGGATAACATATAAAAGTAATGTTTATTTTAATTTATCCAATTAAAAACTTAAAAAACATTTACATGATTATAGATGATTTTAATATATATATATATATATATTTTTTTTTTTAAATAGAAATTAAAAAGAAAAGTTGGTGGGCCAGCCCACTAGCCCTCCCTTTGGAGGGGCAGGTCAAGATTTTTGACCCACTTTGCTCTGGCTGGCCAGCCTGCTCTGCCGTTTTTTGCAGGCCAACAACGAGCTGGGACATGCTTTGGCACCCCTAGGTCAGTAGGCTATAGACGCTCCACTTTAGGGTATTGTATTCTTGTTGGAGGTAATTTAATATCATGTAAAAGTAAGAAACAAAATGTTGTGGCAGAAGCAAAATATAGGGCAATACACTAGTTACTCATGAGTTCATATGGCAGAAAACTCCTCAAAGAACTTAAATTGGGAGAAACTTCTCAAATGCATCTTATCTGACAACTAGGCAGTGTTATTCATTACCTCTAATCCTGTCTTTCAATAGAGGATCAAACATATTGATATGGATTGTCATTTGATAAGAGAAAAATTGGAGCATGGAGACATCACCATTAGAGTTGTCAACTTTAATGAACAATTGATTGACACATTCACTAATCTCTATGAGGACTGATGGTTGATTATATTTGCATCAAACTAGGTACATCCAACCTATATGATCTAGCTTGAGGGGAAGTGCCGTAGTTATAGAAATTAGGAGTATCTTATCTAATCAGGGTAATAAACAAGGAGCTGATCCTGTATAATGAAGAATATCTAAATTATACATGTATTATTAGGAATATTTTTTATTTCTTCCCGTATCACATCTTTGCTATTAGAGGATATCAAATCCCTCTATTTATTGCATTGATTTATTTTTCTCCATATAAAGAAGGTATCCGCCCTGACTTAGAAACACACGGTTTCATCTTAGTGTTTTTCTCTTCCCTACAGTTTAACACTTGCTATAAAAGGGGTTTAATGGGATACTGTAGGGGGACATCCGTGAATTAGAAACTTGGGAAGAGTTGCTTAGACCTCTGGAAATATCTGGAGCTTGTGTCATTCTCATAGGGAGATATTCCCTATTAGCCAATTAAATATTACATTTCCTTCTATCTTTGTCAAGAGTTCTATCAATTTCCTTCCCTATCCTTCCTGGTAAAAACCACCTGAATATTTTGGCCTTAAGTAAAGCATTTCCATAAGTAATTTTACTGACATTTAACTATTCTACTGACAGAATATGTGATTATATCTTCAGGTAGTTGTTTCTTCTTTGTGTTTGTGAGGGAGTGTGCTGGTTGTGGTGTGATTTGGTCCAATTTTCTGCATTTTTTGAAACTGCTTTCCAAATTATATTTCAGAAAGTTATATATTGTTGATGCACGGCCAAGAAAAAATGCATTGGCTAATGGAGCCATGGGAGGTGGTTCAGAATCATCGTCAAACTATTTTCAATCTGAGGTTTTGATAGGCTTGAACTGACCAGTTGTGATTTTTTGCTTTGTCCACTTATAATTATACATTTGACTTTACTTCCAAAGTACCTGAATTCTTGTTTTATATTACCAGGTAGTCTTCTTGGGGATAGACAACATCCATGCGATGAGAGACAGCTTTGTTCGGCTCCGAGAATACATGGACACTCATGGCAGAGCGTCATCAGATGGAATGTCCTCTTTCTTGGTTAGTCTGTAAATGTTTGAACATTTTACCTGTTGCGGAGGCTTTGGAGCTGTTAGAGTAAACTGTTTTTAAAATTGTTGCGTTGATGAAAAGTTTAGACAAGTTTAGACGTGAATCATGATATATGCACAAAAGTATTTCTCTTATCCTCTACAAATCATCCAGTATGGTTAAATAATTTAAGAATTCATACTGGTGGCATTTCTCATACTTTTCTACTGAACTGTTTTATGTATGGTTGTTCATAAAAATCAGTGCAAAAAACTGAAAAAAAAAACTATTTTTTGTATTGGAGTTTGGATTTGATTTAAAAATCAATCTAATCCAAACCAATCTTATAAGTATGCTGATATTTTTATTTATAAATTTATGAGATCACTTATATTTACTTTTATTTTATAAAAGTATATAAACATAATTATCATTTTTCAAGTTGTGAATTTAATAGTATAGATTTGAAAAGTTATACAACTATTAGCTCTATAATGCTTGTAGATTAGATGCTTCATGTTTTTAATTTTTTTTATATTAATTACATATCTTAGTAAGACTGAAATTGAAAATTGATCCAATCCCAAATGCTTTTAATTCGAGTCAATTGAATTCGGTTGAAATTTTAAACCAAACTATTTTCATGGTGAATTAATGATTGATTGGGTCTGATGATTTTTCTTATCCAAACTGATTTAATCTAATATTAGATATCCTCAGTTTATGATTGGCTAGGTTAATTTTGCTGGGGATCAATTAACATAGTCTGTTTCTAATTTTTTCCGAATTTTATTCTCAATGTTTACGAGTTTATTTAGAGACAAGGTGGGTCAACGTGGGGTGGTGGCAATCTAAGTAGTATGTCTGCTTCGGTATCAACCCTTGGGGACATTGGATGGTTACTGCATGTTCAGAATGTGTTGGCTGGAGCAGCTTGGATTGCTGCTCGTGTTGCAATTGAAAACTCTTCTGTTCTTGTGCATTGCAGGTGGTAGTCTGAAACTGTGGAATCTAGATTGAGAATTATCAATCTATTCCTTCTGATGATATTAAAGTTTGTTTGTTATCTAGCAGCCTTTCACCCCCTCAACTCCCTTTTGTTTAATGCAGTGATGGATGGGATAGAACAAGCCAGTTGGTTTCACTTGCTAATTTGTTGCTTGATCCATACTATCGGACATTCACAGGGTTTCAGGTGAGGGATTGGCATCACTTGGCATCGCTCAACTGTTGAATATACTTCTATTTCAATGTCACCATATGAAGATTAGCAAGTTTAACTATTTGACATTCCGTAGTCAAACTATCACATTTTTTTAACATTTTGGAAAATGAATTTTTCTTTTCAAAACTACATGTTCTATTTAATTTTGCTTCAGATTTTTCTTCCTTATGCAGGCACTTGTTGAAAAAGACTGGCTTGCTTTTGGTCATCCATTTTCTGATCGGGTGGGAATGCCATCTGTCTCTGGAACTGGCAACATGCCTTTTGAGTTATCTAGGCAGCCTTCAACTGGAAATTTTGCACCATCACCCATACACCAGTCAACAGGAACATTTTCATCACAACCTCCAGCTTCATCTCACTCCCATAACTCCAACAACTATTCTCCTATTTTTTTGCAGGTTGGTTTCTTATTTTAGATATGGATTAAATGGTTTAGGCATTAGCCCACTGCACCCAGTGGGAAGAAGGGTTCTGTTTATGGGCTTCATTTAATCAACTATTTAGTTTATAAAAATTAACTGGGTTATGTTTTCTCGATTTTTCCTTCTTTGAAATCTCATTCAAATAGAGGCTGCAGTAAATGCTTCATTTTCTTTTGTAATGGCTTAAGCTAATTCTTTCAAGGTTCATACCACTACAAATATGATCGTATTGTTGTAAGCTACGAAGTACATACATTTGCCTTGCTTCAAGAATCAAATTGTGGGACATGTGTCCTACACCTATTCCTGTATCTGTATGACACGTGCTGGACAATCTTTACTAAACTTCATTTTGGTTTTCCATGCTTTTAAAATTGTATCTAACAAGGACGCTCTTCATTTTTAAATCATTTTTAAGGATGATTTTGTATTATTCACTTGAAATGATGGTTGGTTAATTTGCTTATAGTATTACACTGTGAGTTAGCTTGTACTCAAATTCATTTAATGCCATTATTGTTATACTGGCATAAAATATATTTTTCTACCAATTTCAGCTTGGCTTTAATTATGTGCAAAGTTGCATGTTTAGATTTGGAGTTTGGATGGCTATTTTGTTTTTTTTTTTTGCCTTCTATAATTGGTGCTTTACTTCGATTTGAATCTATGTTTTAACAGTTATCTTCAGTGTTTTTCTATTATGAGCTTACTCTCTTTTATTGTTTCAGTGGGTTGATTGTGTTTCACAATTATTGCGGATGTATCCTTTTGCTTTTCAATTCTCTGCGGTATGCACCCTTGAATATATATGTATTTGTTTCGTTGCATAGTTTTCTTTCTAATATCTTTTCTTTTAGTAACTTCTATTTTATTTTTCTATGACCCAGGCTTTCCTGGTGGACTTCATAGACTGCATGCTTTCTTGTCGTTTTGGAAACTTCTTATGTAACAGGTACTTTGTTTGATACTTGTCTTCTCCATGGAATGGTTGTGGTCATTGACACCCTTTTTCTAACTCTTGTCACTATGAATGCAGTGATAGATAACAACGTAGTGTGAGTAGGTTTCACAAGCAACACGTAGTTTAGGATTTAAGAATGATAATTTCGTAGCAATATGGGCTTTTTGCTCATAGGCTGACATATAGTTAACAATTGTGAAAAGTTACGCTTCATTTTTTGCAGCAGTTATGTTTCACTTATCCCTCAAATTTTGTTATTTTACTGCGACAAAAGTATTCCCATAGAATATTTATAGCTGTAAAAATGGGCTATCCAGTGTACTGAGTTGGTTCACCTTTACCAACCTTATAAATGTGTCGGCTTAGCCCAACTCACTGTGATTCAAAAATATTAGTTTAGAGCGGACTACCATAAGTTGGTGGATTAAACAAGTTAATCCACCTAAAATTTAAAATGCTTATTTTAAAAATAAAAAGTTATATTTTATTTAAACTTTTAATATATTTAACAAAATATACTGCAAGAAAATGAAGACTCCGTAATTAAGAATTGAAGATTGCATATAATACATAATTAAAAATGTCATAGCAACTCACTAGTCAGTCCTCGTAAACTTCATGTTTTCCAGGTTCGTTTTATCTATCTATCTATTCCAAGTTTTTACGTAATACATAGTGAATTAAAAAAATTAAAATTTTCATTTAACAATATCTTTGACTTTAGGTGATTTAATTTTTTTCTTTTTTTAGATAGGTTGACACCATGGTTCAACCTAGGTGGAAGGTGGGTTGAGTCTAATTTTTTCCTCAATTCTAAAGATTTTCATTCCAATCCTGTCTCGTCTGAAACCCATAATAGGCTGCGTTGACTTGCAGGTTCGGATCCCTCTGGGTATATTGTTGCTAATTTGCTATAGCTACCATCATTACTTGACAAATATAAGTTTGTGAGAGAATCTCAAATCATAGTTTTTCTCTATCCATTATATCAGACTGCATCTTGTTATATTTACATGATATGATATTCTGTTTTTTCACTTAGTCAGCACTTTCTGTCGTTATTCTCAGAGATACTTAGTTTCTGCTATCCTCCTTTTCTTTGTGAGCTCTGTAACTGCCAACCCTTTTAATTTTCATTCAAAGCCATTACCCTACTCAGTAGTATAACCTATAGTAGCACATCATACTGGTTTGATTATTTCCTTTTAAAACATGAAATGCTTTTCATTATTAGAAATGGTTATTCCTTTATTATTTCCTATAGTAAAGGAATATTTCACTTCTTTGTATTGAGATTGGGAATAAAGAAGCCCCATCTTTGTGTCTCTTTTAAATGATAAAGAGGAAATTACACCTACCTCTCCTGAAATCGTGTTAATTGACAATCGCTTCCCCTCTAATTTTAAAATTAAAACTTATCTTGTTAATGTTTTTGATAAAAAGACACGTATATCCCCTATAGTTTTTAAATAGACATTCACATTCCTTATGTTTTTAATAAATAATGACATTTACATATCTTATATTTTACTAAAGTAACACTCGCCTCTCTAATTTTAAATTTATAAAATCCTTTGATCTTTATATTTTAAAATTTTAATTTGTAATTTTTCTACTTTTTATTTATGTTTTAGTAAATGTTATATTTAAATAAAATAAGGCAAGTGTCACTTTATTAAAAAACATAAGGGTGATGAATGTCATTTTATTTATTAAAACTATAAGGTAGGTGGATGTATGTTTATTTTGTTAAGAACCTAAGTAGTTGTATGTTTATTTTAAATCTAGAGGCCGTAAATGTCATTTAACATGACCTCAATAGAGGTAACAATGATAAATGTACCTGGGGATTAAAGTATTGAAAATCTGAAATAAGTATCTGACAAATTGCAGTTGTCCTGATTCTAGTTATTGTGTTTGTTCTGATTAAAATTCTTTTAGTGAGAAGGAGAGGCAGAAATGCAATGTTTTTGAGGCATGTGGATGTCTGTGGGTTTATTTAGCTGATTTACGGACATCAGAAGGAGGTTCGCATGTGCATTACAATCCCTTCTATGATCCACTCAAGCATAATGGTCCTCTTCTACCCCCAGCAGCAGCATTGGCGCCTACGTTATGGCCCCAATTCCACCTTCGTTGGGCATGCCCAGAAGAAGCACAAGCTGGGGAGATTGAAGCGCAATGCAGGAAGATAGTTATGAAATGCTCTGAGACGCAGAAGGTAGTTATTTTCCTCTGTTTTCTGATTTTGGCTATGACCCATTTAATTTTCTTCAATCTTTTCGGAAAGTCACTATTGATTACTACATGGTTGTAGCTCCTTAGTTTTGGTGGCTGCCATCTACTTTTTTCCTGTCAGTTGTCAAAACAATTATTTATTTCCTTACAATGCCCTCTGTGGAACTATTGATCTGTTCGGATGGTAATAACAGGCTAAAGAAATGGCAGAAAGAAAAGTTAAAGAAGTTACAAATTCCATGGAGTCACTGAATGCTGAATTACGACGTGAGAAGCAGATAAACAGCTCAGCTATGAACATGGCAAAGAGTGTGAGCAAAGAAAATATGGCTATAAAGCGTGCAATTCAGTCAATGGGGTGCAAGGTTCATGTCTCTGGTAGTGGTGAATGCACTGTTGACATTGAAAGCAACCCAGACATTCTGTGTTGTTCCTCAAGAAAAGAATCAAATAGTAATGTGCGTGATGACAAAACGGACCCACCTGTTTCAGTACTAGTCACAGCAGATGATGATGATGATGGAAACAATGGGATTGTTAGGGTATGTGAAACTCTATGCCCATTTGGCTCTGGAGGTGGAGGCTGCAGGTGGCCAAATGGTGGTTGTGCTCAATTAGGTAGCCAGTATGTTGGCCTCAAGGCAAACTTTGATGCATTTGACCAACTGTCAATTAATGATAGTTATTTCAAGTCTGAGTGAGCAGTGAACAGTTGCGTAACCAATTTTGGTTTCTTTAAACAATGAGAATGGTCGTTGATTCTTTTTTCCACTCCTCGTGACGAAAAAAAGGGGAGAAGTAGAAGACCCTGTCATTTTTATAGGGTCTCGGAAATTGTACAGGTTATGGGTCATCAAGCTGCAGTCATCTCTATTTGAGAATGCTCGGTACATGTATCCGGTTTATGCGCATCATGGTGCTCCACATTCATATCTAGAATAGTCACTGAATCATAATTGTTCTTCAATAAGATCAATTTTGTACAGATGATCATCAAGCTATTGAATTTTATATCTAGAGGGATCAATGTATATAGCAAGTATAATTCGTGCCTCATTAATGCAGAATACGCTGACTTGGTTGGTACTTATTATATTTCACTAAAATAAGACAGGAATAGGTTTTAGAGGTTTTATAGGTTATGACATGATATGTACGTTGAAGTTCCAAGACACGAATACTAAAGATTGTGAAAAAAGACAAGAATACGTACTAACCAACACCTATAATAGTTACTCACGCTAGTGGTTTCTGAAGAAGGAAGCAGTTGAATTTAATCACAGTGCGCAATCTATTCATTCAAATATCCTCAACAACCAATATCCGACGAATGTTTAACAGAACCAAAAACCAAACTGTCACCTAGCTGTCAATGTTTTTAAACAGAACCCTCTGCCATTTCAGATTTGACTCCGGTTTTGTTTTAACAGATAAACCAGAACGAAGTTGCAATGAAAAAGGTAATCCAAAACACTCATAGCAATCACAAACTCTTTTTTTATCTGTAAAGAATTCATTTGTCAAAATATTCTCTATTTTATTAAGTTTGTCATAAATGTGTTTATATTACGCTTGTTTATATTTTTAATATATCATTTATGTTTTTATTTGTAATTTATCATTGTATATACACAGCATTTTTTTTTCTCTATAGTTTTTTTTTACAGAATTTTTTTTTTGAAAATATTAAAATAATATAGTTCTTTTCAATTATTCTTTTGGTTTCATTTTACTAAAAAGAAATAGAGTAGGTAATTAACAATTTTCATAATTAATTTTTATGTAGACTTTTTTTCGTAATTTTACTCTTATAGTTTTGATAACTATTTATTGTCATGCTAGATGTTAGTTTGGATAACTATTCTTTATCGTGCTAATTGTTAGTTTGTTGAGATAACATTTTTTTATAACGTAGATGCGGATACACAAACGTGTTATACGTCTAAGTTTTCAGCAATTATTATCCATATTTATCAATATATAAAAATTTCACTAATTATTATTCATACCATTATATACTTTTTTAAAATTGTTACACTATTTTTTTCAACAAAAAAAAATAGTTTTACTTTCTAATAATAATATAATTATGTTTGTGTAGGTTCTACTCCCTTCAAAATTTTGTTGCCAATCAAATTATATATAGACAAAAGTGTTTTCGTTAAACTTTATTTGAAAACAAAAGTTCAATATTTCTAGTTCTACCACTAATAAATCACTCCTCCAAACAACTATCCATATTCATTTCATTTGATACCTGCAAACAAATTACCCATCTATAGATATCCATTATTATTAATAATACAAGTATTAAATTTGGATTTGATATAACTATTAAATTTGAATTCAACAAAATAAGATAATAAGGTCAAAATGACTAATATTTAGCGAGATAAAGTAATAAAATCCTGTAGGACCATATACATTAAGGGAAAGGTAAGTTTGATCTGTTTTACGGAAACGATCTATGATACGAGTCCGAATAGTCCTAAAATATACTAATAGTATTAATAATATTTAGAATCAAATGGATATTATTTCTATTACTAAAAAATAAATATAATGTGTAAATATTAATTCGAAAATGACGACTTTAGACTAAAATGAAAATAAATTAGGTTCTCCATTCAGAGGAGTTCTTTTATGTTTCTCCTTTTGCTAATATGTTTTTTTTAGATATTTCTAATAATATCAAGTTTTCATACCTTAACATTACTATTTTGACAATAGAAATTTTAGCTCCCATTAAAACTAGAAAAACCTTCTAGTTACGAATCCGGAATAAAATCAATAGACGTTAATTGATTACAATTTCGAATATGATATCATATGTTCGGTTTCATTTTTATTTGAGTATGAATAAAAGAATCTTATTGTACACCAACGGTTAACAACACATGTCAATTTCAGAAATGGAATTTTATAAAACCAAATTAAGTCTGATTGGACAAATTTAAATATTCAGTAGTAAAGGTATGTTAAAATAATATATATACCTTAGTTGTTAAGTTTCTTATAAAATTTTGTTGCAAACTTTTTTGGATAAATTTTAAATATTAAAAGCCACTTTAAATTCTATTTCCTTTTATTTTAATTATCCAAGATAAATATTTGAAGGAGATCGCAAAACACTAACTACTAAGTTTTATCCTTTATAACTAGACCGGATAATGGGTATCGGAATTTAAAAAGCCACGTGAATTACAGAAACCATTACCATTTTGAGAACTAGAATCGATGCAATTATTTGAAATCAAAGAAAATATATACTTCAGCAAGTAACGAAAGAAAGAAACGTAATATAAAAATGTGAATTTGTGTTGATTGCCTGAAGCTCAGTGATTACCATCATCAGAATGCCTTTTCTCATCATTGGGAGACCCTCCTCGTCCCTTCCTCTCATTCCACCTCGCCCACATCCATGTTGAAATCGCGATCGCTCCTAATGCGTAAATCTACCAGTCAAATCATCTAAACTTGTCAGAAAATGCAAATTCACTGAATATCCTAATTCATCAAATCTATAGAAAGCTAGCACCTGGGAAGCTCGTGTGTATAAAAAACAGTGAAATACATACATACTACGTAAAACTCCAATGCACTTCTAGATAAAATTAATTAAAATCGGCTGATGTGGTATATACAAAAACAGCACTGGATTAAATACGTTACTCTCACATCATAAGTCATATTCAGATTCAACAACCCTCAAGAAAGATAAGAATAATATATGAAAATGAGAAAACTGTCGTAAAACCATTTGCAGGGACTTCTTTCTTTCAAACTTCACCATAACACCACCACTGTCAGCTAAATAAAACTTAAAATCAAACGGAAAGGTCTCAATCTGATAAGTCTAACTCAATGACCCTTTCCCATGGGATACATGCTACATCTCTCTGGACTTAGAAACCGATGGCCTCTTATTCAAGACTATTTGGCTGCCTGTCAGTCTTCTCCACAGTGGCTAAGGAAATTTAAGGAAAAAATCTATGTGAATTTGTCTCGGCTGGAACAAGTAGATATACAGACAAGTGACCACAACTGTGAAGATCCTAGAATCAAAGGATATTTAAAATACATTGATCAGTTGTATATGATGATCCAAACCTAGCTGATTTTGATTACAATATTACCAAGTACAACTGGACTATTTAATTAGACATCAGAACAGAACTAACAACCACCCCTTAATATTGCCAGGTTTGTTTTCAGATAATAACAGCCCTCAAAACAAATCCTTTAACAGTTAAAATAACTAGCTAAGTCCTATAGAAACAAACCTAAAAAATATTATGAACCTTGAAATAATTATAATATATCTTTTATAAGAGTGTTCATGAAGTACTTAGCCAAGAATTATCATGCCCAAAAAGTGTAAGCCACATTAATCTAAGAAATTCACTGAACAATATTTTGGTTATACAACCATGAATTTTCCAAATTCTAAGGTTTCGCTTATGATTGCTGGCCTTAAAAGAACATATCATGATTCGTGTCCACTCAAGGAGTAGAAACAAAAAGACAAATAAAATACAAAGCCAGAAGAATATTTCAGTCATCCAAATCCAAACTAAGCACGTGGAAGGATAAAAATCATGCAAAATTTAAAGGATGTAAATAACGCATGAGGTAAAGTACAATTCGACGATTGAGGGACCACCGAAGAAATTTCAACCATCAATCTGACTATTAACTAAACTTCAGAAACAAAGAGATAACATTCGTGAATTAAAAAAATAACTGTCGCAGGCTCCAAGAGAATCCTCAAACCCTAATATGACAGATGTGAGCGAAATTTCAGGCTTAGAAAGAGAAACAAAAATTTACCTGCCACAGTAAAAAAGGATTGGTAGTCCTGGCGGCGGGAGAGTTGGCAGCGTCGATTTCAGCCTGCAGAGGCGTGGTAGAAACCACCGTAGCTTGGTTTTTGGGAAAAGTCACAACGTTGCGCGTGAGTTTGGGAGCTTCATCCTGAGAGTTGGATTGTGGAGGTGGAGATGAAGGTTGAGGTTGCAACAGGTGCGGGAGAAAAGGAAACTGAAAATTGATTTTAGGGATCAAAGATAAGAAATTTGGTAGAGAGGGTTTGGGTGGTTGTTGCTCTGTGTCTGTGCTCATTGTTGAAGGTACGGCGATAGCAACGGGAATTAAAATAAAACCCTGACGTGTTTATATAGAGAGAAAATCAGGTTTGGACAGTTGAGAAAGTGAGGAACCTAATTGAATATTAGAGTCTGCATTTGGGTTGTTACAACCATCTAACATCATTTCTTCATCACTGTTAGCCCCTTATTATCTCTTTCACTAATTTAAATTAGGTTTAATAGGTTCGGAGGTCCTTATATTTGTAGGTTCGTTTCAATTGGGTCCTCCAATTTTGAAAGTGATCAATTTGGTCCCTAATTTAACAAAATTGAGTCAATAATACAAAAGCAATTTTTAGTACGGAAACTTCAGTTAAAACTTGTGTTCAGTTCTGACCGAATAAGCACCGATTAGACACCAATGCATCATATGAAGTCGTTAAGTAGAATTTTTTTTACCATTTGCAGGCAACTTTAGCGGCTCCTGTGAAGGGAAAAATGTTGAAGGGACTGTGTGTCTGTTATTCTGTTATAGCCACCACCTATTTTAGTGTGGCCATATCAGGTTATTGGGCATTTGGTAATGACTCTGATGCTTCAGTTCTTTCTAATTTCTTCAGTCCTGCGAAAAAGCCTTTGCTTCCCAAATGGTTTTTCTTGATGACTAATATTTTCATTCTTCTACAAGTGATGGCACTGACTGCGGTAAGAAAAGGCTCTTGTTTACATTTGTTAATTTTGCAATTCGAATGATGAATAACCATAGATTGGTTATGTTACAGGTTTATCTGCAACCAACTAATGAAATATTTGAAGCAACTTTTGGAGACCCTAAAATGGGACAATTCTCCATGCGCAATGTTGTGCCCAGGGTGGTACTTCGGTCAGTGGCAGTGGCAGCAGCCACGGTTTTAGCAGCGATGTTGCCATTCTTTCCAGATATAATGGCATTGTTTGGGGCATTTGGATGCATTCCTCTTGATTTCATTTTGCCTATGGTTTTTTATAATATGACTTTCAAGCCCTCAAAAAACACCATTATCTTTTGGGTGAACACATTGATTGCAGGAGCATCGTCTATTTTAGTTGTAATTGGAGGAATAGCATCTATTAGACAAATTGTTCTTGATGCCAAAACATATAATTTGTTTGCAGATCTGTAAAGAGTTTATACCAATATACATACAAACACCAGTACTTAGTTTCATTGCAAGTCTGTCATTTATCTCAAATCAAGCAATTCTTTCGACCGTATCGATTTTCTTAGCATTATGGTTGAGATACGATATCATCACACTGAATATAGTTTGATCCACAAACCCAAACATCAAAGAATATTCTACTACGATACAAATCTCAAATAAGAGATAATATCTAATAAATGCGCTTGTCTTCAATACTATCTCTAAACTATTTTGTATTAAAAACATTAAAATCCAAAAGCTCATATATTATAATCCATGAGAGACACTTGAACTCATTATTAATATTAATGTTTATTTTTTTTTATCTTTATGCTTTTATATTATACTTTTATTTATTTCTTTTTTAAGCGCATTAAAGTGTTGTTTGCATGTAAACTTTTATTTGACATTATGATCACTCCTCATCATTTTCCACACATGAAGAGACCAAAGATTTTATTTCATTAAAAACTCCACTGCAAAAACATTCAAATTTTAATAAGAATATTTGATGTCCATAATGAGAGTATGGATGGAACTTTCCTAACCACATAAATCAAATAGCATTCACTCTCTTCTAAATCATTTATCAAACAACAATTTTCACATCCTCATAGTTGTAATTATACCTTTATAGGTAATTCTCTAATGTGTTTTTTTTTTCTATTAGCACTCCTTTTGTGGCAATTTTGGCATTTAATATTTCTATATTCGGTAATAATTGAAATATTATTTCAAAACAAAAAAAAATTAACAAGTTTGAATTGTTTTCATTAAATAAAATTTTTGGACACATATTTGCAATTGTGTTATTTATTTGTTATATTTACTTGCATGGGTTGTACGTAATAAATTAAGATATAATCAATCATAATTAATTATATTTTAATTATAATCAATTGTAATTAAAATTTAAATTATAATTATTCATAATAAATTATATCTTAATTATAATAAGGGAAAATGGATAGATACCTTATAATAATAATCAATTATATCTTAATTATAATCAATTATAATTAAAACTTAAATCATAATCAATTATAATTAAAACTTAAATTATAATCAATTATATCTTAATTATATTTTAATTTATCCAATTTTTCCACTGGTAATCCATTACATGCTTAATTCAAATTTCATCCACTGATAATTGATTACTATCATATTTTAATTAATTACCACAGAAGTCATGCACCCTTACACGATTTTAATACTTTTGTAATTGATTATAAATGTTTTGTAATCGATTACCAGAGTAGAAAACGTGTGAGATACACGACTTCACCTGTATAATCTAAAGTCGTGTGAGACTACACAACTTATCCATAAAAAAAATTAATTAGAACAGTGATATTCAGAGTATTTTTGCCCATGTAAAAAATATTTATCTTTCTTTAAAAAAAATAAATTGATGATTTACTAATAATTATACAAAATTTAATGAACACAATAGTATTATAAAAAATACACAATTTTTTATTTAATAGAATAAATTTAAATATATTTTTATCTTTTCTAGAATGAGTACGTTTTTTATTTTCATCTCATTAATTTTCTTTTTATTTTTGTTCTTCTAATACCGGAAGCAAGTACTTTTTATTCTTACTACTATGGTATTAATTGCTATTAATGAGTTGAAATAAATATCGTTTATTTTTAATTATAAAACCAAGTCTAGTGTTTTTTTTTTTAATTCTAATGAAATGTATCTTATGGAAATGAAAACTGAAAATTAGTCGACATTTCAACTCATAATGATATTATGATATAATATAATGTCCGTCCCGTGTCCATTCTCAAAAAAAACGGTTCACATGAGTAAAATAAATAATATTTATTTATCCTAAAATTAATATTGGAAATTAGAAATACTAATTTGAAATTTTGGAGTTACAAAAATTAAATATATTTTGTAGGATAAGATAATAATTCCAAATTTCATAAAATTAAAATTTATATATACTAAAAATAAAATTCAGTAATTTTAAAAGAATTAAAAATAATAATGATTAATTAAAGTTAATTTAAAGGTTTAATAGGTTCGGAGGTCCCTATATTTGTGGGTTCGTTTCAATTTGGTCCTCCAATTTTGAAAGTGATCAATTTGGTCCCTAATTTAACAAACATTGAGTCAATAATCACCCTTTCCGTAAATGCATGGACGACATTAACGTTTTAAAACATGTGGTATGTTGAAGCATCCTTCAATCAAAACTGTGCAACCTGCAAATAAAGGATGCTCAACATACTACATGTTTAAAAAGTTAACGCCGTCCATTACATTTAACGGAAGG